TGTGCTAAATGAAAGTAGTGCTCACAAAAAGGAGATTTTTGAGGTAAGCCAGTAATCACTGTGTCCATTGCCTTTTTGATAACTGTTCATCCCAAATGAGCTTGAAGACCTGAGGCAAGGACCAAAGATTCAATACAGCTCTGGTATCCCCAGCAGTTCTGACACAGTTTTGGTGTCTATAGAATCATAGAATAGTTAGGATTGGAAAGGACCTTAAGAGCATCCAGTTCCAACCTCCCTGCCATGGGGAGGGAAACCTCACACTAAACCATGGCACCCAAGGCTCTGTCCAACCTTGCCTTGAACCCTGCCAGGGATGGAGCATTCACAACCTCCCTGGGCAACCCATTCCAGTGCCTCAGCACCCTTACAGTAAAGGATTTCTTCCTTATATCCAATTTAAACTTCCCCTGTTTCAGTTTTAACCCATTACCGCTTGTCCTGTCACTACAGTTCCTAATGAAGAGTCCCTCCCCAGCATCCCTATAGGACCCCTTCAGATACTAGAAGCTGCTCTGAGGCCTCCACGCAGCCTTCTCTTCTCCAGGCTGAACAGCCCCAACTTTCTCAGCCTATCTCCATACAGGAGGTGCTCCAGCCCCTGAGCATCCTCGTGGCCTCCTCTGGACTTGTTCCAAGAGTTCCATGTCCTTTTTATGTTGAGGACACCAGAGCTGCACACAATGCTCCAGGGGAGGTCTCACGAGAGCAGAGCAGAATAAAGGGGCAGGATCAGCTCCTTGGACCTGCTGGTGACGCTCCTTCTGATGCAGCCCAGGTTACAGTTGCTTTCTGGGCTGCGAGTGCACACTGAAGTCAGCTCATGTTCATTTTCTCATCGACCAGCACCCCCAAGTCTTTCCCTGCAGGGAACATCAGAAGGCCATGGAGCTGTTGGACCATTTCCAGACAAAGCCACGAGGACGCTTGGGGGCTGGAGCAGCTCCCATATGGAGCCAGGCTGAGAACATTGGGGCTGTTCAGCCTGGAGAAGAGAAGCTGCGTGGAGACCTCAGAGCAGCTTCCAGTGTCTGAAGAGGGGTATAAGGATGCTGGGGCAGGACTCTTCATCAGGGACTGCAGTGATAGGGTGAGCGGTGATGGGTTCAAACTGAAACAGGGGGGATCCAGATTAGATGTAAGGAACGGATTCTTCACTATGCGGGTGCTGAGGCGCTGGCACAGGGTGCCCAGAAAAGCTGTGGCTGCCCCATCCCGGGCAGTGCTCAAGGCCAGGTTGGACACAGGGGCTTGGAGCAAGCTGCTCCAGTGGAAGGGGTTGGGGTTGGAACTGAAGGAGCTTTCAGGTCCCTTGCAACATAAACCAGTCTGGGATTCTATATGAGCATCCAATACATTTATCTCGTGTAAATGGGCTGGAGCAGTGCTAAGAACTTGTGATAGGCACACATAGGTTAGCATGTGGCCAGAAGTGTGTCCCAACTAAAATCTTCCTGGGCTGTGTGGTCTTTACATCTTTTCCTTTTTGGATGCTCAGTAAGAGGTCTGTGCTTTGTGGATTTGACCATGTCACATCCCCTTCTGTATGTCACCGCATTATTGAGGGGGAAGATGCTCTAAATGAAACAGTAGATGGAGGGGTTTTAACATTTAATTGAAACACACCATTTCTGTTTAATGAACTGTACAATTGCTGGAAGAATATGTATTTGTATATTGACAAACTGAATAAATCTATGGTTTAAAATAAGCATCTTTGGAAACCGTGGTCTTCTGCAAAGAACTGTGATGAATAATGAATGAATGCAATGGCAACCAGTCAAAATCTAATTTAAGTTGGTGTGAAGTGAAATGCTCACTTTATAAGCTTTTAATCAAAGTTTCTGGAGACATTTGCACAATTTTCTCAAGAAAAGAGAACACGACACGTGAAGCCATTTATTCAGATAGAATAAGAGAGGGACTCTTCATCAGGGCCTGTAGGGACAGGCCAAGGGGAATGGCTTGAACCTACCCGAGGGGAGACTGAGCTGAGCTCTTAGGCAGAAGCTCTTCCCTGTGAGGGTGCTGAGGCGCTGGCACAGGGTGCCCAGAGAAGCTGTGGCTGCCCCATCCCTGGCAGTGCTCAAGGCCAGGTTGGACACAGGGGCTTGGAGCAAGCTGCTCCAGTGGAAGGGGTCCCTGCCCGTGGCAGGGGTTGGAGCTGGATGAGCTCTAAGCTCCCTTCCAACCCAAACCATTCCATGATTCCATGATTTTGCATAACTGAGGAGGGATGATTCTCATTAACACAATAAAGGAGCTCTTTGCTCCTTTCTGCTCCATGCTTTCATCCTCTGCACACAGGAATACATCAGAGGAGGCTGAATGCAGAGCTGCCACTGTGTTTAGGGCATTGGGTGGTAGAAAACCCAGTTCACCTCTCCCTGAGACATCAGGGAGTGCAGCCACAGTAATTACCATGGCCAGCATCACCTGGGTCCTTCACACACACCCTCTGCCATAGGCTCAGGCTCTATTTAAGCTCAGACTTGGTACTGGGCCCATTTCCAGGGCTGTGCTCTCACTGTGTTTGCTCTTTGTAGGAATCGTGACTTAAACTTGACTCTTAAGTTTTCCCTGGGCTACCAATGGAAGCTGCTGCTATGCTCAGGCACAGGGAGGCCATGCTCTGCTTTGTGGCCACTTTCAGCTCCCAGCTCACCTTCCCACTGGGAATAACTGGTCCTGGCTGCTCCCTTGAGGCACCTTGCATGATGCAAAGAGCACAAACAGCTCTTAATGAGAGGCAAGACCCTCTAGTGTCCAAGCTCTAGCAGAAGGTAAGTGTCACAAACATCTCCCCCTCCTTGTCTGTGTCTGTCTCTTAGGGAAAAGGATCCCTGTTCAACTGTGTGCTCCAGATAGATTTTGTTTTACTCTACATCAGGCATCCAAATGCAAACTACTTATCTGAGGGGGGAAAAAAGAAGTTAGCATTCTAGGTATACCATACAGCGGGTATGCTTAGTCATGATTTCCATGCCCAACTAACAGAAATGATGCTGGGAGTCTTTATCTTTTAATTTTAGCTATGAAAAACACAATGTCAGGACTAACTTTGGTGTAGCCATGTGCAGTCACATGAAGAAACAGATGATCCCCCCCTCTCTTGCAATGCATCCAGGTCTCTATTTGCTACATAAAGAGCTTATTGCTGAAGGTCTCTAACAGGTTGCAGTTGGTTATTTCTGCTTTGCAGAGCATGAAGTTCTGCAGCATTCCTCTGTGGTACCTTCTCAGTTAACAGGTTGCGATGGGGGAGAGTTGGGTGGGAGGAAACATGTCTTACAGCAGCCCCATGACAAGAAAATAGGGAAAAAAACATACTTCTCCCTAAAGTCATTGCATTCAATCATACTAAAATCCTTGGCAATAGGGGAAAATCCTACTCTCAGCTGCTGCTTCTAAACCAGATGTAAGATGAAGCCCACAGCAAGGAGGTTAGAAATAGGTGGCCTTTAAACCCCCTCCAACCCACACTGTGCTGTGAAACCTCTTTGGCTGAGCTGGATGCTTGCAGTGGTAGGAAGGAAGGTGCAGGATGACAGACACAGCTCTGCTGCCTCCAGGCTGGGATGTTCTGGTCACACAGTGATTTAGCATCTTCCCAATGCTCAATCACAGCATGTACCCCGCTCATCCTCTGGCAGCTCAGTGGCTCTGCGTCTCCTCCCTTTTCCTTACTTTGCACTGCACATCCTTCTGGAAGCAAATGGGATTTTATGCATTCCCTTGTATTAGCCCAAAGTAAATTGATGTTTTTTGGATGTACCTCCTCAAAACCCTTCATCCCTCCTTGAACTTGCCTCTGGATGAATCACTGCTTGAAGCAGTGCAACTTCTAAAGCTAAACCGAAGAGGGAAATTCCTCATGGGCTTGTTTTTGCCACCTCCTATGATATCACATCTTTTTTCCCCCCCAAAAAAACAACCAAGAGATGACAAGAGAATATTTATCAGGGACCTATACTGAGGGGATGCTTAACATCACTGAGTCTCTGCAGAGTTTAAAGCATGGTTAGAATGTGCTGTACCTGCTCCTCTAAATACATTCAGTTCCTTCCTCCTCCAGACAGCTGACACAAAACGAGTTAAAAAGGGAAAGAGTAGGAGTTCCATCAACCGATTGGGACCGGTTTGGTCAGTGAGCAGCTCGCAATGAGGTTATTTGCTGTTGCTTTTCTAAGGGCATCTTTAACATCCTTGTTCCTCAAGCTGTAGATCAGGGGGTTGAGCATAGGGACAATGAGGGTGTAAAACACAGCGGTGACTTTCTCTGTCTCCAGCGAGTACTTGGAAGCTGATTGCATGTGGCTGAGCCCAGCAGGGACATAGAACAAGGTAACGGCCAGGAGGTGGGAGGCACAAGTAGAGAAGGCTTTGTGCCTTCCTTCAGCAGACCTAATCCTCAGGATGGACAAGAGGATATATACATAGGAGGTGATGATGAGGACAAGCACAGACATGGAAATGGTCCCATTAAGAATTACAAGCAAAAGCTCATTGAGGTGGCTGTCGGAGCACGAGAGCTTCAGCAGAGGGTTAGTGTCACAGAAGTAATGGTTGATGGTGTTTGGACCACAGAAAGGCAACAGCAGCAAGCAACAGGTTTGGATTAGGGAGTTCAAAATCCCCCCCATGTATGATGCAGCCACCAGCTGAACACAGAGCCCCTGGGGCATGGAAACCGTGTAGAGCAGTGGGTTGCAGATGGCTACATAGCGGTCGTAAGCCATCACAGCCAGCAAGAACACCTCTGTGGTCACAAACATGAGGAAGAAGAAATGCTGCAGGAAGCAGGCAGGGTAAGAGATGGTTTTGTTTTCCACCAAGAAGCCAAGAAGCAGCTTTGGAGCAAAGACAGAGGAGTAGCAAAGATCGACAACAGAGAGATTGCAGAGGAAGAAGTACATGGGGGTGTGAAGCGGGGGGCTTGTCTTGATCAGTGCCATCAGCCCAAGGTTGCCCGTGAGAGTGATGAGATAAATCACGAAGAAGATTACAAAGAGAGGAGTCAGCAGCTTGGGCTCGCTTGTCAGGCCGAGGAGGATGAAGTGGGTCACTGTGGTGTGGTTGCCTTCAGCCCAGTCACTGTATTGCATGGCAGCATCCCTGTGGGAAGGAGGAAGGATGGAGTGAAAATAGGGAAGAGCAATGCCATGTGGCTTGCATGTACTGTGTTAGGCTGGACATTAAAACAATAAAGATTTGATAGTTGAGGCAACATCTAACTGTGGTTCTTGGTGAATATTCACAGGCAGAGAAACACACCCAAAACCCTTCAGAAATTCCTTAACCATGAGGCTAAATAAGACCTTTTCCTTTTAAAAACCCAAACCCAATCTTGAACCATTTGAAAACTGGAGAAGAGGTGAAGAACTTGCAAACTTGTCATCACATTTCATTAAGGAGGCAGGAAAAAGGGACTGCATTCCATTTGCTCCATGAGAAAGACTAAATACATCTGAGTGTGGTGCCCCAGGAGCCCTGAATCCATCACCCAACTCTGATACAGCATAGCTGGATCCCCAGCTGCCCACAACAACTCATTGAGTGAGATACCTGAGACTCAGGTTTCCCTGGCAGCCTGGGGCAGAGAGTCCTGTCCTAGACAGCAAAAATAGGCTGAGCTGGCACACTGCATCAGTAGAATCATAGAATAGCTAGGGTTGGAAAGGACCTTAGATCATCCAGTTCCAACCCCCCTGCCATGGGCAGGGACACCTTGCATTAAACCATCTCACCCAAGGCTCTGGCCAACCTGGCCTTGAACACTGCCAGGGATGGAGCATTCACAGATCCCCTTGGCAACCCATTCCAGTGCCTCACCACCCTAACAGGAAAGAACTTCTCCCTTATATCCAACCTAAACTTCCCCTGTTTGTTTTAACCCGTTACCCTTTGTCCTATCACTACCAGTAGTTTTGGTCAGGTTCCAGCACAGAGGGTAATATTCCCCTCAGTGTGGCAAATGAGTCTAACACAGAGTTAGTGCACTTAACTTCTGTTGTCTGCTCCAGCTCAGGTGTTATTTCCATGGTTTTCCCCACTCAAGGTGAAGAAGGCATTGGCAGGCTGCTCCTCACAACTCTGACACTAAGAAATGAACTGGACATCATGTTCTATAGGTAATAGAAAGCTGTTAGCTGTATTTGAGGGAATTCATAGAATCCCAGACTGGTTTGGGTTGGAAGGGAGCTTAAAGCTCATCCAATTCCAACCCCAACACCTTCCACTGGAGCATTTTTAGTCTTCTTGATTAGAGAAAAACCTGGAAGGCTTCCTCATGGAATGTGCCCTGTGTGACATTCCCAGGTCTTTCTGTGCCACTGCATGGTGTGGTGCAGCTCTTGTCCTCTTCAGTTTAGGGCTGGGGCAGAAAAGCCTTTTTGAATGCTTTCCCTAAGGTTTTATCACCATCAGATGGTGACTGACACACACACAGGGTGTGAAGATAATTCCTAGTAACTCAGACCTATGGCTAATACACAGTTCAGGTATATCCTTGTTGAGCTTTTTGCCCCAAATCAGTAAACTTACAAGCTTGAGAGCTGTGGAGTTTATCCTAGCTCTACATTTGAAACCTAAGCCTATGATGCTGCTTGCCTGCCAGATCCTTATATACCGCATCCTTACCTAGCATCCTTATGCAGCTTTCTGGTATCTACACACACTGCGTGTGTATTATCCTAAGGCAGAAGATCCATGATCTGCTTTCCTTCACTCTTCAGGTGGCTCTAATGCCATAGGAGGGGGAAGTGGCAGCTCATGGATGAAGTGAGCCGAGTACAAGTAACGCAGCAGCTCCGTCAGCAAGAAGCTTTTTGCCCCGACTGGGTGATGACACTGTCCCAGAGGGGGACAGCATCTGAGTTTATTTATTCCTTTGGTCCTGATGGATAAAATCCCTCAAGTAAAGCTTAGCTGAGCAACGAGGGGATCATTAGAGACTCCCAGCAGAGCCTGGAAGAGGTTTAGACCTGGGTCCATCACCCCAGCTAATGGTGCAAGGCTCATTAACCTCAGTGCTGATGTGGAGGGGGGGCTCATCTCTGCTGAGGCACAGGTGGGAAAGCCATAGGATTGTGTTTAATGGGATGCCAGGGGTTGGAATTTATTGTGCTGTTTGAACTGTGCAAGTCTAGAGCTTCACCTAAACCAGTTTAAGGTAGCTGGAAGCACCAAGTGCTGTAACCGAAGTCAAATGTGCACATGAATCACTTTATCTCCTTGCATATGCAATGGGTTTTATAGCTTGAACTTGCAATGGGTTTTATAGCTTGAACTTAACCCCCCCCCCCCCCGATCTCTCCCACTGGTGACTCTGTGCCTGGAGATCACCACTGCAACTGCACCCAGAGAGTCATGGAGGCAGAGGAGATACACTTCCAACCCAAAGGGATGAAGCACAACATGTATTTCAGCACAAGCCAAGCCTACAAAGACCAAACCTGGGCTCTGTGGTCATACCTACGATTTTACTTGAGGGTCATTGAGAGTTTTATGTGCATCAATTGACACAACTGCAGCAAACTTTAATGTTCCTTTAAGTCAACTAAAGGTGCAAGAAAGGGCAGTTTTACTTTGTTAGAAATGTTCTGTCATTTGTGCCTCATTCCTTGAGCTATTTGTGGCATTGCGACAGTGTGATACATCACAATGTGCTAGTGCTACTACTACAGTGATACTCAGGCCAGGAAGAAGTGGGCAGGGTTGAAGACTGTTTGCAGTTTCTTTATCCCACTGCTGACTTATTTTACTTCCCTGCTATAAGCATTTTCCCACCTCTTACTTCCATTTATGATTACTTCTTTAAACATTCATCCCCACACCAAAACCCCATTTCACTGTTACCTTTCCACGTGGTCACAAGAAAAGTGTTCAGAGATAAACCAGGAATACTGGATTTAAAATCTCCTGTTAGGGCAAAGTATGGATTGAAACATTTAAGGGAATACAGATCAGGAAGAAAACAACCCCAGTTTTTTTTGTCTTTAGTGCATTTTGAAATGAAGTAATGTAATTAAGTAATGAAATCTGAGTATATAAAATGACTGAACCACTGTGACTACCAGGTAAGTATCAGTTAAGGATGACAGATTATGGCAACACCATAGGAAAATGTCTTTAAATCAAGTTTCACTGATAACTTAATACATGTAATAAACATGTTTCAAAAGACAAGTACCTTCATCATTTGAAACTCAGAGTTTATAAGTGTTTAGCCTACTATATAACATATAATATTGCCTACTATGTATCACACCATATCAGTAGTGCAGTCTACTATTGTTATAATAGTGTAGGGATAACTTACCCTGGTGACCAAGTGGATCTGGATGCAAGGAACTGGGTGCATGGAGGGGGAAGGTGGGAAAAGGAGAGGAAGTGTAGGAGTAGAATGTGGTAGACACTGAAACACCCCAGAAAAGCCAGGCTTTCACCTTAAAACCTCCTGGTAGAAGTGCACCAAGGACTTAGTCCAGGCTCCACTTCCCCATTAGAAAAGACAAACCAGCACCAGGACAAGTAGAAGTTGCTCAAAGCATTCGAGCATGTTTTTTCCAGCTGAAGGAAAAAAGCTTCTGGTTTGAGGACAAGGATTCAGGGCTGAAAACACACTCACAGGCAGAAGCCTTGTTAAATACATAAATACACAGAACGAGTGATAAATCATCCCTCATGCTGCTTTTAAGTTCTGCTTTTCCTCCCCCAGTGCCTTCCTGACCACAGAATCCACACATAGTATGTTGGGATAACACACCACACCAGTTACCTGCAATTGCATGAAGCATTGAGGCTTCCCCTTGCCAAAATATCCCCGTTTTAAGGTTTGGGATTAAGGTTATGCCAAGACCCTGTGAAAACCCACCAGATGAGAGAAGCAGATTTGTTAAGTTTTGGGTGCTCTGCTACAGGTGCCTCTTCCTAGGCAGGATGAGCTCCATGCACAGTGCCTGTTGCCACACTTCATTTTACATCTGAAAAGTTCTGAGATGGTTTAAAATCCAGATTATTCTAGAAATGTTGATGGAATCCCCCTGTGAAACAAGCTCATTTTATAGAACCTCAGAATGGTTTGGGTTGGAAAGGACCTTAAGACCATCTAGTTTCAGTCCTCCTGCCATGGGCAGGGACACCCCACCCTAGACCATGTCACACTCTATCCAGCCTGGCCTTGAACACTGCCAGGGATGGAGCATTTACGACTTCTTTCTGCAATCTGTGAAGAACTGCATCCTTATCTCCAACCTGAACTTCCCATTTCAGTTTGAACCCATCACCCCTTGTTCTACCACTACAATCCCTGAGCTTTTTACTTTACAACTTGGCAGTTGCCCCACAGACTTTTGATGCCTACACAGCATCCAAAAGCCTGAAACTTGGGATTTCCTGTATTCATGCGTGTGCTTCATGTTTGGTCCAGGTTTCCCTCTAAAAGTGGGATTTTTCTTTACCTGTAGAGCCTTCAGCAAGGATGCTAAAGCCACATCCCCAGAGAATGAGAAACATGGTGTTTGTGTATAAATTTTATTCTGAAAACAAACCCCAAGGACAAGGAACTATGCAAAACAGAGAATAAAATAAAACAAGCCAAGAAAGCAGCACTATCTTTTTCTTAGCCCGGAGCCTGTCTCTGTGTGTACGTTGTGGAAGGATGCCTCATAGAATCAGGGAATGAGCAGGTTTCTATTCTAGGTTAATTGACATTTTTCTTTCTAAACATAAATCAGAACCTGGCAGCAGAATTCAGGCTGGGAGAGCTGCAGCCTCAGCTTGTCCCCAGTTTGGACACTAAGAGGGGATGGAATGTTGCTGGAACTCAGATTCCAGTCTTACATTAAACAAAGAAGGGAACCTGCACCCAAACCTCATTAAAGAGAGAAGTTCACCTTGTTATTTCAGGTCTCCTTCCCAACCCCAGTCTGCCTTCAGTTCACATCTAAGGTTTCTTCTTCAGCCTCTGCTGCTTGCTCCTACATCCTTCTGATGCACTGTGTCAGAAAACCTCCATCATTTGGACGCAGTTTGCTCTCTAAGTGTTTAACTCTTTATTTCTTAAATCCCAGATGGTGCTTATCATCAGCACCTCCCTTTATCTCTACAGCCTGGGTATCACCTCTAGTCCTGGTGGCTTTATCAGAAATTCCAAAAGGCTGAATGCTGTTACTCCAGCAACAATTCCTCCCCTCCAGCTCCCCCACTG